AGCAACTTTGCGCCTAAGATTATATTATTGAAGAATTAGCAAAATCAAATCCTTCCTACACCCCCCATACCTCTCTTATCTCCACGACTAACTCTTCTCACATTCATTCATCACAGTGCACAGCTAATGCAGACGATACGAGTTCGCGAAACGTCGTTCCTGGTCTCCTTAACCCTTGCTCTAGACTACATGTTGGAGCATTTAATGTACGGACATAATGTCAAATAGGTCGACAAATTTCCTTAGCTAGGACTTTAGAATCTCGCTCAATTGATGTATGTTGCGTCTCGGAAACGCGCATACAGGATCCGAGTAGCGTCACTCACCTGACCTCACCATTTCAAGATAAAGAAGCAACTCGATTTACTGTTCGTGTATCTGGAAGTCCTGATGCTGCTTCCCGTGGCCTCGCTGGCGTAGGTATAGCATTGAGTCGTAGAGCTGAACAATCCCTCCTAGACTGGATCCCAGTAGATAGTCGTTTGTGCGCTGTCCGACTAAACGGGGCAGTAAGGATTCGGAAGGATAGGGACACTCGCCGTTGCCTCTTCATCGTATCTACTTACTCCCCCACTGACTGCAGTTCAGACGATGTGAAAGATAAGTTCTACAGAAAGCTTTCAGGCCAGCTCCACAAAGTTAGGCACTCTGATATAGTAATAATGGCTGGTGACTTTAATGTCCAAGTTGGTAGACTAAGTGAAAAGGAAATACACCTGGGTGGATCTTATGGTGTCGCAGCTCAGAGAACAGATAATTGCGACCGTCTGCTGCAACTGTGTTCAGATAAATGCCTATTTCTAGCAAACACTAACTTTAGGCATAATGAGAAGCATCTTTTGACCTGGCAACCTGAAAAGTCGTCTCAACGTTGGACCCAACTAGATCACATTGTCACCAGTCACCGATGGAGATGTTCGATAGAGGACTGTCGCTCGTTCTGGGGCACATGTCTAGATTCAGATCATGCTCTAGTGCGAGCTCGTATTTGTTTGAGGCTTACTGGACGTAGGAAAGACATCGTAAGGAAGTCTCTTAGAGTTTTACCTAATGATAATAAAGCTAAGAATATATTTCAGGAGCAACTAGAGAGTTAGGCAACTATGTAAGCGATTCTCATCCGGAAGCAGGTTGGCATGATATCAAAGAGGGCTGTGGAAACAGCAGTGATATCTGCTAGTAAAGTAAACCATAAGGCTAGAATGAAGCCGTGGATCTCAGTAGCATCCACCGAACTGATGGATGCTCGAAAACCCATCCCACCTGGCTCTGAACATGATGAAGAACGAAGTCAGCTTAAGCGTAGGCTGATAAAAAGCCTACGCAATAACCGTGAACAGTAGTGAGTAGCGAAAGCAAAAGCGATGGAAAAAGCAGCCGCGAAAGACAGTTGTACCGAATTATCAAGGAAACTGGTATTAGGAATCTTAGTGTAAAAGCGACTATCTCAGAAAAGGATGGGATTATTATTTATTCTCAATCCAGGAGACTGGATCTATGAGCAGAACACTTTAGGGATCAGTTCAACTGGCCTTCAGCCACACTTCTGTTACCCACGGTCTCCAGTCGTCCTGAATGGCAAGTCGAAGTAAGTCCTCCGAACCTTTAGGAAGTTGAAAAGGCTATAAGAAATCTGAAGCGACAGAGAGCAGCAAGACTAGATAGATTGACTTTAGAGATTTTTACGGATGGTGGTCCAGTTTTAGCAGCTAGGTTGACTGAGATCTTAGGTAGAATATGGGAACTGTACGTAATCCCATCTGACTGGTCCCAAGTTATAAGAAAGGACAAACATTTTCTTGTGACAATCACAGGGGAATGTCTACTAGTAAAGTTCCTAAATTGTTAGCCTCGATTATGCTTAGACGCCTAACTAGTGCTCGTGAAGAGCAGACTAGAGAAAACCAGGCTGTTTTCTGACCTGGACGAGCATGTATAGACCACATATTCACGCTACAACAGGTTCTGGAACACAGACACACATTTAGGCGTCCCACAACAGTTGTATTCCTCGACCTTATGGCGGCGTTCGACTCGGTGGATCGTGAGGTTCTATGGCAGTGTGTCACTGACTGGTGCACCAAAGAAGTACATTAACCTTATGCAACCTCTCTACTCGAACACAACAGGTCGGGTGAGAGCTTATGGTGAACTGTCATCGGAATTCTTTACTTCAAGTGGTGTCCGTCAGGGATGTCCACTTTCTCCATTCTTGTTTAATTTTTTCATAGACCTGCTGCTAGATATAGCATTATCTTCGTCCGACTTTCTACCGGGAGGCTGGCTTGCTGACATAGAATATGCCGATGATATAGTTCTATTAGGTGAAGACGCTGACAAAATGCAGAGTCTTCTGACTACCCTAAGCAACAATCCAAGCATGTTCGGGTGCGGTTTTCCCTCTCAAAATGCAAAATGTTGCTTCAAGATTGGGTTTGCATCGGCACCTGAACTAGTGATAGGGAGTGAAGTAGTCGAACATGTAGACCGCTTCATGTATCTGAGGAGTCTCATCAGTGCTGATGTTCATGTATGTGACGAAATCTCAGCACGGATACAGAAGGCTCGATTGGCTTTTGCCAACCTGCGTCACTTATGGCGTAGGCGAGATATCCGTTTGCTGACTAAAGGACGAGTGTACTGTGCAGTAGTCCGCTCCATCCTACTATACGGATGCGAAACATGGCCGTTACGAATAGAGGACTTTCGAAGGTTACTAGTCTTCGATCATCGGCGTTTCCGAAGCGTTGCTCGTGCATCGTGGGACACCCGAGTCAGCAACTCTGTTATTAGGAATCGGGTGCTAGGTAAGAATGGCAGATCAATAGATGAAGTAATGAAACTTCATCAGTTGAGGTGGTTGGGACGTGTTACAAATGCGCAACCACCGACTGCCGAGACGAGCTATATTTTGTGGTGTAGGAGTCGGTTGGAAGGAAGCTAGGCGCTGACAAACCGAAAGATGGCACAAATCCATAAAGTCACTGACAAGTGGACTGAGTCATGTTGGTAGATGTTGGCTACTTGGTTGGGGTCCGCGAGACGAAAGTCACTAATTGTTAGAGACCTTCAACAACATGGCTCAGAATCGTTTGCAATGGCGCAGGTGCATCCACTCTTCGTGTTCTCTCTAATTCTAACCTTTTGATTTCCTCACAATCTCTATCTTTCTCCTTCTAAATTTATTTCAATGAATTATACTTCACGAATCATATCTTCGCCCCCTAATCTTCTCCATTACTGTTAATACTTCTACTATCGCCATCACTCTTGCATTCGAATTGACAGTTGCGTCCCTGTGCTGATGTGTTATGGGAACCTGAACTGATGTACTTACGTACGAAGTTCTGCGTCTGTCTGTCTGGTAAAACTCCTTCGACTCTTTATAAAGTTGAAAAGACTATAGGAAAACTAAGGCCAGGGAGACCAGCAGGCATTAATATATTAACCCCTGAGATTTTTAAGGATGGTGATTCAGTTTTAGCATTCAGATTTACTGAGATCTTAGGCAGAATCTGGAAACTGGGCGTAATCCCATCTGAATGCTCTCAATCACTGATTGTCCCAGTCTATAAGAAAGGACGACAGTGCTCTTTTGACAATCACAGAGGGATCAACTTAACTAATATAATGCCTCAAATATTAGCCTCGACAATACTTAGACGCCTAGCTAGTGCTCGTGAAGTGCAGACTCGAGAAAACCAGGCTGGTTTCAGAGCGGAACGCAGATGTATAAACCAGATAATCACATTTCGACAGGTTATAGAACACAGACACACATTTCGACGTCCAAAACAGTTGTATTCCTCGACCTTAAGGCGGCATTTGACTCTGTGGATCGTGAGGTTCTATGGCAGTGTATCATTGAAAGATGTACTAAAGAAGTACACTAACCTTACACATGCCCTACTCAAACACTACTGGTCGAGTGAGAGCTTACGGCGAACTGTCATCGGAATCGTTTACTTCAAGTCGCGTTCGTCAGGATTGTCCACTTCCCCACTCTTATTCAACTCTATTATTGACATGCTTTTAGATGAGACTTTCATCATCTGACTGTTCAAGAGTTGAATTTTTACCAAAAGATTCCTTTATTGCCTTAGAATATGCAGATGATATAGCTTTACTTGATGAAGACGCTGATAAGATACTGTTTGCTGACCACCATAAGCGACAATGCAAACAGTTAGGTATGCGGTTCTACCCCTCCAAATACAAACTGTTGCTTGAGGGTTGGCTTGTGTCGTCACCTGGACTAGTGATGGGAAGTGAAGTAGTGGAGCGTGTTGATTGCTTCCCTTATCTTGAGAGTCTCAACAGTCCTGATGGCCTTGTGACTGTCAAAATCTCGGCTCGGTTATAGAGGACTCGGCTGGCTTTTGCCAACTTGCTTCACTTATCGAGTGAGCGAGATATCCATTCGCTAACCAAAGGACGAGCTTACTGTACAACGGTTTGCTTTGTCCTACTTTACGGGTTTGAATGCACACTAAGAATAGAGGATAATCGCAAGTTACTGGTTTTCGACCATCGGTATCTTCGAAGCATTATTCGTATATTCTGGGACCACCGAGTAAGCATGCTGGTCTTAGGAAAAGAGTTCTAGGTAGGGATGGCAAATCAATAGATGAAGTATTGAAACTTCATCAGTTGGAGTGGTTGGGACATGTGTTACAAATGCGCAACCACCGACTGCTTCGATGAGCCATAATTTGTGGTGTAGGAGTCGGTTGGAAGGAAGCTAGGCGCTGACAAACCGAAAGATGGCACAAATCTATGAAGTCAATGACAAGTGGATTGAGTCGTGTTGGTAGGTGTAGACTACCTGGTTGGGGTCCGCGAGATGATAGTAATCGGTGGTTATAGTCCTTGAATGATATGGTTCAAAATCGTTTGCAATGGCGCAGGTGTATCCATCATTAGGGTTTCTTATAAATGTTAATCTCTTTCAAAGGAGTCATGAAACTTGTGTTTTTTAAACCTATGTCTTTTACTTATGTTTTACTAAATCAAATCCTAGGCCAATGATCTTTTGATCACAGCTAATGCTGACACTATTTCTGTATTTTTGGGATTCGAATCGACAATTGAATCTCTTTGTTAGTGTGGTATGGCAACTTGGAATGATGTACGTACGCACAAAGATCGATTTTGTTGCTGACTGACTTATGAGTACAAAGGTGATTAGAAATGAATAGGTTACAATGTAGCAAATGTTCCTAATTACCTTTATTAGAATATTCGCTACATCATGATACACATTTTTTTCTTTATCACTTTTGTATTCATGAGGTGTAAGCAAGTGATAAGAACCTAACGCAATATAATGTATTCCTATAATTCTGCACCAGGCTTTGCTTTTTGCTCTTGTCAAGATCATAAAAGATCTACATGTATGAAAATATTTATTTATTGAGACACAATCATTGGTACAAACTGGCACCAAAACATATATGCGCAACACACAGAAAAATAAGATTATGCAAGGACAGACAAAGGAAGATGAGTACAATAAAAAAGGATAAAAATAAACAGAAATTGGTGAATGAGAGTTATAATAATTATAATAATTATAGAAGCGATTCCATGAGGGAAAATACGACCAGAAAGAATTCTCTCAGTTGAAGAAGTTACTTTCAATTTTACTAAGTGAAAAAACTAAGGCAATACTATCATTTGCTTCTATTTAAATCACGTCTGAACTTACTATGCAATATATCTTCCGCTCCAATCAAGGAGCTATTATGAACCAAAAGATGCCAGACGCGAACAGCTTCCCTTCATACTACAAATTCATGTCTTAAACCGATCACCTCTCCAATTTTTCAGTCAGCTTTAGTATCAGTAAACAAAGCAAGTGTGGAAGTCTTCGTGATGAAATACGTTGTTCACGTTCGCCAACAAAGTCGGTACTTCACTACGATGAAACCAATTGAATGATAGTCGCTAGCCCTCGAAACACGTTTTTGAAACCTATGATTTACTGACATTGCGTTTCCGCCGAATGTCAGAAATCCTTCGGACAACGACATTCAAAAACAGCCAGTGGCTCAACATCTTCAACTTGGAGATGTCAGATTTCACAAGTATAGAGCGAAACTGCTCTAACCGAAACATTTTAGACCCAACCTTTTACAGCTTAATTTGGTGGTGAAGGAAAATATTCAGATAAATTTAAAGAGATACTCTCAACACTAGCACGGAAGATTGAGGTTCGTAATACTTATTCCCATTAAAGTTCGTCTAGTAAGAGTGATTTACATTTGTCTAACCAGGTGTCAGTTTGATGAAGATTTTCAAAATATATCTATATTTTCGGAAAAAATGTGACAATATTAATATCTTCCCCTGATTATTTAATTTATTAGTATATGGGTCTGGTGAATACAAACAAATTAATAGACAAAGAGATTGGAACCAGTGAGATAGTCAAATCCAATTCGATTATCAGTAGCCACTGCAAGACAATAATAACAACACTACAGTGAACGGAATTAACAACAGAGTTGTAATATGTATAGAAATAGTTCTTACGGTTCTAAACCAAATAACTGGATTCCTATAATAAAGCAATCGAAACTATGCTACTTGGACTTTACGCTGTACAGTACTTTGCATATGATTAGTAGACTGATGTGAAATTTATAGGTGTCTATAATCAGAGACTGAACATTTCAACACCCAGACTACGTAACTCAACGAACATAAACGCCTAAATAATTTCGTATGACAATGAATCTATATTTTAGCAATGAGTATTACAATAGCTTTCTAAAGAGCTGAGGACACTTTTTTACTGATGCCTATTATAACTAGTAAACTATGGTTCGTGAATCGAAGTGGCTAGAGTGCGAAACTTATTAAAAATATCAATAAGTTATTTGAACTACAAATTCACGTCCTAAGTTCAGATACTATAGTTCGTGGCAAACTGTTCAACACATCAGGAGACAACTTACTACTTAATATTGTGTATAGAATAGCTAAAATAAGATCCTGTACTACAGAAATTCAAATACTAATAAATCCGATTGTACTAACTATTCAAAAACAACGAATGGAAAAACCATAAATAACTGATGCCAAGAACAACCTTGAAGACCAGAAGTCCCGCCTTCATGTAGGGTAATATCCAGTATCTTCTCCAATAATTCTTAACCAACCACTTGATTTCCTTGCACTCGTCTGTTGTTGTTTTGGTATGTTTCCAAGTATTTTTTATATCTAACGGATAGAAGTATAGTCGCTAGACTGTACCGGATTTCTGTAACTTCAATAAACAAGAATGAAGTCTCACTAGTCTTTAAGTAATAAGAAACTCAATTAACAGCAACCTAGCTAGAGATAAAGATTTATTGTATCGCCTTTTCAGATAATCAACATGGAACCACGGCTTCAATACGCCGTTTGGTCGAGGTTACGCATATATTTGTGTTAGAAATTATCAACAAGTCATTATATTTGGTGGGTATTCGAAACATTTAAGTGAGAACTGCTCATCTCTGGACTTTATATACGTATGTGTCCGTCCCTTACACAAATGAGCGTAGAGCAATCAAAAAAATTCTAGGACAGACAATTTTACTGCTCGTATGATGAAACAATAGTAGTTTAATGGGTGACGGCCGCCAGCGCATTTTAGTTTATCTTGTAAAACTGGCTGTCACCAATTGCAATAAATAAAACGTGATTGAAACCACTACAAGCTACCATCCGAAATAATTTTCCACTGATACCTGTCTAAGAATCTCCTTGTTATTTTTCATCTGCTGCAAAGTTTCCGCACATTGTGGTTCAGCGATAGATGCTTGGTGAGTACTCATACCACGAGTTTTAGGATCCATGCACGCATAGAACAACAACATCAGATCTCTTAGTCCACTTAGCATATCCTGCAATGCTTCTTGGCCACATTTTGATGCATATATGGGATTCGATAAATCTTTAGTACGTGGTCGACCTTCTGGCTCCTAAAATGTAAGTTATTACAGTTTATTTACAGGAACTAATAATGGAATCAAGAAAGTAAGATTTCGTGCCAATCATTTATTCTTTGAAAAATGGACTACCTTTAGTATTTAGTATATCTATGTAATAACCGGATCTTCTGGCAAAATGTAGCTGCTTTTTTATTTTATCAGATGGATCCCATGCTTCTGAACGTATTCTCCAAAATTCTAATAACTGTTGCAATTTGCCTTCCTCCTTTTTCTCACGCATCATCTGCAGTTTTCGAAGCAACACTGCATGACGCTTACGTAGTCTCTTCTTTTGGTGTTTTTTCATCTTGCGCCTTCGAACTGTGAAATCGTTTTTGAGTTCTATTGGAATGACATCCGGTAGCGACGGCAATGCAATGGGTTTGTTGATTCTGATCGCGCTCACAAAAGTAGGCGCTTCGAACACACATTTCTCGAGATTGGTCAATCTAACAACATCGGGAAGAAAAAACTTGATTTCAGCAGCCTTCGGTTTAAAGTTGAGTATATTGTGTGAGCTTATTAACTGCTGTTTATTTAAGCTTTGGAGGGGGGATATGTAGGTATGCGCTAATTTCGGGAGGTTTCTTAATAGCCTGAAATGCTAAAGGAAGTTCTTTCGTAAGGATGACATAATTCATACCTGCAGCATCCTAACCAAGGCACTCGCAAATCCTAGTGCCGACAAAAGAGGCTTGAAACTGGGGTTCACTCTTTTATTAGGAAGACCTTGAGCAGCTCCATTCAAAAAGGAGTGGCTGCGTTTCAATTTCCAATATCTTTTAATCCAGCTAGTATAAATCAATTGCTTTCCTTGCACTCGTCTGTTGTTGTTTTGGTATGGTTCCAAGTATTTGTTTATATTTAACGGATAGTAGTCTAGTCGCTAGACTGTACTAATTGTAGCCAGTTGGCAGTTATTCATGGATTTGTACGTCCCATGATTTGAGCAAGTGCGTTCGCCCCAGTATAAGAGTGTTTCTGGATGCCAACAGCTATTGCGTCACGAGTCCGGAGGTCAGCTAGTCGCAATGCGGAGAATAATAAGGGGATAATTCTAATGCTAATGAGAAGGCAAAGATTTCAGAACTAAGTAGATAAATGAGTCGACAAATTAACTGATTGGTAGTAAACATTGTGCAAGAGGACCGAAGTGTTAGCAAGGGAGAGCAAACAGAAATAAAAGGCGAGATGGTTTAAGTTAGTGAACTGACGAAATGGCAATAATAACGACTAACACGTCAGACGCAGCTGGTCCAACACAAAGATGATAATCCATATGTGGGTGCGTGTTTATCAGGTATCTTCTCCCAACCTTCCACTGGAGAGTCCGTGGTCACCTCAGCTAGGGTAGCATTCCAAGTAGCGATACCTCTTAATGAGAAAAAGTGTGCAAGAACCGGGGTTTTCGATCATTGATGCGCAATTTCCTGAGGATTACGTGGAAGTGTATGGTGGTTATGTTTTGGCAAGATGCACATTTTGAGAGTACTTAATATGTTTCACGCCATTATCAGAATACCTCAGATTTGCCCACTACTCAGCGGAAATAATCCCGTTTTAGAGTCTGCCTTGTAAAGTATCATTCTTTTACCATACCACCCATTTAGTTGCTCGTCTTTGCACTCTGTCAAGGAGGTTTATGTTTCATTTAATGAGAGGGGCTGCAACGACGCTGTGAACCTCATGGTGTGAGCGTGCATGTGTCTAAAACAACGTCATGAAAAATTCTAGGGGGATAGCACCAAGTTTTCTTTGCATAAAGTGAAGAGTTTCATTAGCCTTGGCTGCGTCCCCTATATAGTTCGAATCGGTGTCGAGGCTTTCAATGGTTATCAAACCGAGATCGCGCTCTGATGTGATATTAGGGAGCGGACTTCTATTGAGGATGTAAGTCGTTTTTGTCACATGTACACAACGCGAAATTTTGAGTGGTTTAGTTTTAAACCGTTTTTCACTTCTCATTTCTCAATAGATGTGAGGTTCTTTTGCAGCTCAGTTGAACCCTCTTCGCTTCTAATGGACCTCCGTATCATTGCATCATCTGAGTAGATCAATGCCACCGAGTTAGTTTTGTCTAACAGATCGTTAATGTTTATCAGAACGAGGATTGGACCTAAGATAGTCCCCTGTGGAACTCCTGATGTTGAGACCAACCAGCATGTACTCGCTCTAATAGCCTTGGTACGAAATTTTCTATTCTCAAGGTAGTTTCCGTACAATAATAGAAGTAGATAAGTGAAGCTCAACTTCGCAAACTTTCCCATCAAAAGCACGTGAGGTACTGTGTTGAAGGCTTCTGAAAAGTCGAAGTATATTATATAAAGGGGTATTTTTTGGTCCAAGTTGGTTGTTCAGCTGTATTTTGTTTTAAGAGGGTTGAATGCACAGGACCTACTTCTCGTAAACTTGTGAAGTACGTCCTTCTTATCCATATAAATAAATACTATCCACGTGTTTCGTAAGATTTAAAAATAGTTGAGCCCCTTAGAAAACCATCATAGACAACTGTCCCTGTCATCCATGGATTCTTACTTATTGTACAAAAGTGTAATGATGACTAGCTATTCAGTACTTTTGTCTTTGTCAATCAGAAACAGATGTCTTATCGAGTTATAAGCAAGAGCTGTTGCGTTTGGTGAGTGATTATTTGGTAGGATTTCATCTCTATAAGTTGAGTCTGTTGCGGTACAGAAATCATGAAGATATATTACTGCAACAACCCTATTCTAATAATCATCCACCGATATATCCTGATGAGCGATACATGGACTAAAGTTGCTATGATTTGCAGTAATACAAGAAAATGTCAAAAACTAAAATATATTACAATAAGAAGTAAAAATTTAAACCAATAATGGCAAATAAATAATGTGATCTTTAGACTGAGTAATGAAAAGCGAGTGTACAACATCGTGGTCGGTTCTGGGCTATCCCTGACTCAACGCCACACAGTGTTTTGATTTTAAAAGAATGACTGTACGGACCACTCACTTTTGTTGTCGAACCTTTCTCCCGTATCTCTTGTCAGTTTTGAAAAGTTTAGAAACGATCGAAATATTGAAAAAAACTAAGTGGTTTGTAAACATAATTAATGTAAGCTTCAAAATACCAACGATAATATTTTATAGATACGTTTAAATGGCTTTCTGGAACAAATTACTTGGTTTTCTCTGTTAATCACTTCATATTTATCCACTATTCATAACTGAATTGAATGTAAAATATACTCATGGCCTAACACTCCCCGCAATCGGTTGCATTCCTTAACTCTTAAATTTTTGACATGTCTGTTTCGCACTTGCTTCCCTCAACTCCTTACTTTCATGTTTTCTGCCATCGTCATTATTTTTGTCATTGAAATTTCGATATATTGAATCAGTAATCGATCACCCATTTGTCATGCTGCTGGCTTTCAGGTAGGATTAAAGGTGTTACTTGACTGTTCATTCTGAAGTAATCAGATTACCGCGTGAATATTATGGTCTAGTATTTAAGGGTTTTTCAACTTTTCGCTTACAATTTCGAATATCCTTAACTGGTAAAAACATATAGGCATGGGTAAGATTTTCTCAGTGATTTATGTTTTTTCTTCGTAATTATATGAGAGTGGTACTCGGGACTTTGACCCAGCAAATGAGGAACAAGCCCCTGAACTATAAGGGCAATAGCTTAGTAGTCAAAGCACTCGGTTTTGTGTCAACCAGAAAGCATCAATAGCCATTACTCAATACATTTAACCGAAATCAGAGTAAACAAACATATACTTCACTTATGGCTTGAATTAAAAAAGTAAACACTTATTCATAAGTCAGCACAACGGGTGATTACAGTCAAATTAATGTAGTTAAAGCTCAAAAAATTAGTGTTTTGAGTAAATATGTTCGGATGAGGCTTATATAAATATGCAGTTGGTAATACAAAGTACGTTACATAGAGGTTTCTATTTCCAAGTTACTGAAATACAAAGTGAGAGTTTTCATGTTTTCAAAAATCTAAACCTCAAAATAACAAACACTATCTTCCTAGGTTCAGCAGTCTTTGAAATCATCAGGTCTAATCCAAATTTGAGTTTCCATAAACGAAATCATAAAATTTATCTATTATTTATTCTGTCCATCTGTTAAATATTGACTAAAACATGGTATTCTCTCACAAAGTAGTCTTTGAAGTCTTTCTGATAAATTGTTTTTATCTGGCCTTCTTTTCAGTCCCCCATGCTTTCAAATGAATCTTTCACTACATGAAAATTTGTAGCAGTAATGAACAAAACTACACTAAACCGATCTTTACTTGTTTTCTGCCATTGTTCACCCATTAATCGTTGCCCATACTCCAGTTCTGTTTGCGTATCCTCAACGGGATGTTTTCATTCTTTGCATTTGGATTTATCACTAACATATGTGGATGATGAGTCGTATGGGTGCTTTTCGAATACTACAAATCAAGTTGATTTACTCTGCCGAAATTCAAAAGTTGGTAGGCAACTGTTATATTGTTGTTCTCCGAGTGATGGAGACTTATGCAACCGGAACTCGAGTTTGCTTGGATTAATCAGTCCTGTGCAAATGAATGCTTATGGTTCTACATGGAAACCTATTTTGAAAGCAGTGTTGTTCCCTACCTTTGCACTACTTTGTGGACTTTTAGCGATCATGCTGTTTTGGAAGTGTTTTTTGAAAAAACGAATCGAAAATTACGATCGCTATGTTAATGAACTCAGTTGTAAACGTCCGAGCTTCACTACAGATATCTACAACTATCTAATAAAACTCAATGAAGAACGGTTTTCCGACCATAAATTATCGTCTTATATCTCGCCCAGAATAGATAACCTTCCTTCTAAAAATGTGCATAATCCTGATCCTTCATGTGAGCTTATTAGTTGCACCAGTGGGAGCGGAAGCGGTCTTCCATTCCTTGTTCAGAGGACTGTAGCCCGTCATATTAGATTACCAATGTGCATAGGAAAAGGACGATTTGGTGAAGTTTGGACAGCTACATGTCAAGGTGAAACGGTTGCTGTTAAAATTTTTTTGGGTCTTGCCCTTGTAAATTTACAGAGTTTACCAATTGGACAAACACTTCTCAACTTATCTTCCTCAATGGTATCTAGTGGTGTTATGTCTAGTGGTGTGACTCAGTCAGATAGATTGTGCAGTGGGTTTTCAGGTCCTTCTTCTTTAGGTCCTCCTCCTGCCTGACCCAAAGTTGATGATTACTCGTGCAGATCACTCTTTTTTTAGTGCAAAGAGAATCTAAGCAGGTAAATTCTTTGGAAACTCTCAGGCTCAAGATTAATGCAGCCGGATTTTTTTTCTCAGAATCATGTATATCTGAAGTAAACTATGAGATGCAGTTCAGTTGTCTGAACTCTCGAGGAGAGTATTTATCTGGGGACGAGCTAACAGAAAACGTAAGATGTTTACGGTGTGTGATAAAAGTGGATTGTCAGCCTTCAAGGGAGCTTTGAAACCGTCGTACAGCGCAATACATAGCTATGATTTCGCTGCCGCAAGTTATGTATCTCGATTCAGTATCCTGCCTACGTATCGAGAAGAAAGGTAAAGCATGCTATTCTTTGTCTACCAGCTGTTGCAGGATTCCGTGAAGAAAGCCAAGGGAATCAGTTTTAATCTGACATTTCTGCAT